TCCCTGAATCTGAAGTCCTTGCTTCTCTGTCCACCTTAGCTTTCTTTCTGCCATTCCGAGACAACCTTGCACTTTGAATGCCGTGGGGCTCCTGCCCGTGTCCGGGTGTGGAGATGCGAGGGTCGCCCCCCCCTTGCCCCACCACTTTGTGTGTGTGGAGAAATTTACCTTACCTTACCTTACCTTCCCAACCCGCCTCCACACATCGATTGTGTCAGTTAGACGTGGAGACGCGAGGGTTGCCCCCCCTTGCCCCAACCCCTCGTGTGTGTGGAGAAGTTTACCTTACGTTACCTTACCTTATACCGATTGTGTCACGCCTGTCCTCCAGATCGGCTCTGCCGGGCCAATGCCGAGCTGCAAGCACTGCACTCCGGCGCTCCGTGCGACCTTGGCGCCGATGGCACGCTAATCACCTTCGCCGCCTCGGCCGCCCACAACATGGACGCAATGGTCACCAAGCTGACGACCATGTCGGCGAAGAACACCATCGACCACGTTCTTCCTGGTGCTCACTGCATCGGCGCCCACCTCGATGAGTACACTCTCCAAACCTTGCACACCGACCCGGATGTCGAGTCGATGGAACCCAACTGCATCGTCAGTATCCCTCCGGAGGAGAGCGAGTCCACCGCAGGGACCTCCGCGGGTGAGTGCCGCCGGATTCTAACCCGCGCCCCTGCCCCTCCCCGAGCCTTCAACCTTCACTGTGCGAATCCGCCCCTCCGCTGGCAGTCACGACGCAGTGGGGCATCGACCGCATCGACCAGCGGGCGCCTCTGCTCGACAGCCAGTACGACAACCGCGGACGCGATGGCAGCGGGACCGTAATCTACATCCTTGACTCGGGCTTGCGTGCCTCCCACTCCCAGTTTAACGGCCGAGCGCGCGGCGGCTTTTCTGCCGGGTGCTCTGGGATTTTCTGCGGGCTCGGCTGGGTGTTCAATGGCGACGTCACCGACGCGGACATTGCTCAAGGCTGCACCAGCACCCACGGCACGCACGTCGGCGGCAGCGCGGCGGCGACGGACTTCGGCGTCGCCAGCGGCGCCGAGATCGTGACGGTACAAGTTCTGACCTGCACCGACGGCACCGGCTCGACGGCTGGCGTCCTTGAAGGCATGGAGTGGGCCATTTCCGACGCCGCGCGCCATGGCCGGCCATCGGTGATCTCCATGTCTCTCAGCGGCGGCGGCCAATCCTTCGCCTACGATCGGGTCGTTCGACAAGCACAGGCGGTGGGGATCGTCACCGTCGTCGCCGCGGGCAACAACAACGGACAGGACGCGTGCCAGCGATCGCCCGCGTTTGTGCCCGCAGCCGTCACCGTTGCAGCGACAGAGCGGCCGAGCAGCTTCAACCCCACCGACCGCCGCGCCTTCTTTTCCAACGTTGGCCCCTGCGTTGACATCTGGGCCCCCGGGTCGAACATCGTCTCCGCCTCGGTGCTGAGTGACACGGCGCTGACAACTCTTTCCGGCACTTCCATGGCCACCCCTCACGTCTCCGGCGTCGCCGCGCAGCTGCTCTCGCACCTCCGCCTGACCCGCGGCTTGGACATCTCCGCCTCGCGCCTCGCCTCGCTGCTGACATGCCTCGCCACGCCGGCCGTGCAGTTCCCACCGGCGCAGACGACGAGAACCTCCTCCTCTTTTCGGGTGACGACGCGGCGATCGAAGCCTGCCTCTCCAACGGCGGCTCGCCACAGCCCCCAACAGGCGGCCTGTCCTCGCCCTCGCCGCCGCCGCCGCCGCCGCCATCGCCGCCGCCGCCGCCGCCCTCGCCGCCCTCGTCGGAAGGCGGGGCTCCCTCCGCCTTCGAGTTCGTCGGCACGGGCTACTGCTTCACCAGCTTCCGAGGAGGGCACCTGGGAGAGTCGTCGGCGGGAGGCGGCAGCTCGGCCGCGCAAGTCGCTGCAGCGTGCGGGCAGGAGTGCGACGCCGACCCTCAGTGCGTCTTCGTCTCTGGCTGCAACTCTCGGTGCATCCGCTTCTCGGCCGCGGCGGGCGACTGCTCCCGACGCATCTTCGGCGGAGCCGACATGTGCTTCACGTTCACAAAGACGGCGGGATCGCCGACGCCGCTGCTCTCGCCACCGCCGCCGCCGCCACCGCCATCGCCGCCGCCGCCGCCGCCGCCGCCGCCATCGCCGCCGCCGCCGCCGCCACCGCCATCGCCGCCGCCGCCGCCGCCGCCGCCGCCATCGCCGCCGCCGCCGCCGCCACCGCCATCGCCGCCGCCGCCGCCGCTGCCGCCGCCGCCATCGCCGCCGCCGCCGCCGCCGTCGCCGCCGCCGCTGCCGCCATCGCCGCCGCCACCCTCGTCGCCGCTGCCCTCGTCGCCGCCGCCCTCGCCCTCGCCCTCGCCCTCGGCTCCCCTCTGAGCGGGAAAGAGGGCTCAAGTCCAGTGGCACTGCCGGCGGCTGCGGCGACGAGCGAGCCGCTGTCGGGGCCGACAGCGGCGTCGGCGAGAGGGCCGATGGCGGGGTCGCGGCCGGGGTCGTAGCTGTTGACTGGGCTGAGGTGAGCGTCATGAGGCATGCGAGCGAGATGCGGAGTAGGTGCAGCATGCAAAGGCGCTGGCGGCGCGGTGGGTTCGCAGGAGCTCCTCGGCGCGTGCTCGGGTGCTGGAGGTCGGTGGCTGGAGCCAACCGGACCGCGTCCGTTGCGCAGGGGAAAGAGTGAATCGCAAGCGGTGTGCGAGAGAAAGGCGGGGATGAAGATTGCGAGCATTTAGCGGATGAGGTGGATAGCGTGTTGGGGGTTCCAAAGGGCTGTTCGTGAACAGACGACGCTGCCACGTTCGGCCGGGGCGTCCTGGGCGGGCAAACGCCCGCCCCGGCGGCCGACTCTGGGATTGTAGGTCGAGTCTTGGTGGTACGGAGACGGTCACGTGACGGGACGGACGGGACCTCCGGACTCTAGGACGACGCCACGGGACTCTAGGAGAGAGAGTGTGAAGGGAGTCTGGCGGGGCTTTGGCCCGACGGCCCGAGCGCCGGTGTGAGCTTCTCGAGCACCCTCAGCTTGATCTCGTGCGCCCGCACCTTGTCCATGGCGATGCCGGTGCGCGCTGCCGCTTCGTAGCCCACGCCGACGCCGTTGACTCGGAGCGCGTCGCGCAACACCGTCGGCCACTTGCGCTTTCCCTCGTGCATCTGCGACGGGAAGAGCTTGATGAAGCGCGCCACGTCAAGCTCCGTGTCCTGCCACTTCCGCGACTGCAGGATCTTGAACTTGCGCGCGTTCGCGGAGAGGTTGAGCTCTCGCTCCGAGAGCTTGACGTAGGCGGTGCACCACTCCGCCGCCCGTTCGATGTCGGCGGCTTCGCGGACGACGGTCGGCGCGTGGGCGTCGTCGGCGATGCACTTCGGCACAACCTCCGGGTACCTCTCCTTGAGCGGCTTAAGGACGAGGAAGCAGACGGCGATGCAGAAGCTCAGCATGGAGAAGAGGCCGCCTTGCGTGAAGCCGAGGCGGACGGCGAAGCGGTCCAGGCTGCCGTCGACGACTGTCAATGTTTTTCAATCCATCCTTCAAGCCCTCCCATGTAGCTAGCGTTCTTGGCGAATGTCTCGAAGTGGCCAGCAGGCGCTGTCTGCTCGCGGCCTGTGCGGGCCGCTCGTCCTCCTCGCCCTTCTTTTGTCCTCCCGTCCCTCCCCTCCACCATGGCCTCCTCGGCACTTCTTTCTCCATCCGCCTCGCCCTGCCTTTTCGTATCGTGCCGTTCGCCCTCCATTCGGTGACCTCCATGGCTGTCCGGCTCCTTTTGGGTGGCGCTCTCGATACCGTTGCGTCAACCTCGACGTCGCTGTCGCCCTCCCCGTCCCCGTCCCCGCCGTCGCCCGTGACTCGGGGTTCGCGTCATCGGTAGCGTCTCCGTTGCCCCCTCGTGCTCCGCTGTCGCCCTCTCTGCTCGGGCCGTTCGCGATTTCGCTCCTCCTGCGTGTCGCCCCTCCGTCTCCTCCCCTGCCTTCGTCGTCATCGTCGCTGTCGCGAAAGCCCTCCGGTCCCTCGATTCCCTCGTCTATCCCCTCCGCTGCGTCGTCCCAGTTTATATCCTCATCCTCTGTGCGCGTTGTCGTTCCCTCCCCCTCTCCATCGTTGTCGCCTCCGTCGACTGTGGCGCTGCCTCTTCCCTCGCCTCCGTCCTCCTCGTCTCGCCTGCCATCGTCCCGTGTCTCCTCGTCCTCGCCATCGCCTTGGCCGTTGTCTACCTGTTCATCCCGGCAAGGGGCTCGGTCTAAAACGGGTGTTGGCTGGCTCCTTTTTTATCGGCTCAAATTATGGCCGGCAGTATATCGTGTATGGCCGTCTCAATGCGCCTAGTTTCGAGGTCGGACGACGAGATCTCTGGGGTGCGTTCTCTTGTGAACGATCGTGGCTGTGGGCTGGGCCTCGCGCCGCGCGGGCGCGCGTGCAGAACCAGTCCCTCGAGGTCTTGCGCTCTTGCCGGGTGATCTGCCTACGCACAGCTGCACTCCCGTCTCTCGAGATGATCTGGCATCTATGCTCGCACGACAGCCGTAAAGCCGTGTACGTGTACGTACAGTAGTCAGTACGATCTACGAAGGGTGGGCGGTGGCGCGAGAATAGTGTTTGCAGATGTAACCTGGAAGAGGTGCTGCTTCGTGCACGGCTTCGTCGTCGCCTCGCGCAGCTCGGCCATCGTCCGCCGGCTCGCCACCGCGCTCGCCCTCTCGCTCGCCGCCCGCTGCGCCGCCTCACTCTGCCCGTGCGACGCGCTCTCCTGCGCCGCCTCGCGGCCCGCCGCCCGGCCGGCGGCTCCTGCCGCGTCCTTCATCCCGCCGCCGCCGCCGTCGTACAGCGACATCACCTGCTTGGTCACCAGCCGCCAGTACTGCCTCGCGTCGTCCGGCATCGCCGGCCAGATCTCGCGCCACACGTGGTTCTTCATGTGCTGCAGCGCGACGTAGACCGTGTTCTCGCCGCGCCCCGTGCGCACCGTCGGCTCCTCGTCCCGCGCGTCGCCCCGCTCGGTCGCGTGCCACCGGCTCGCCCTCGGCGCGGTGATTCGCGTCGTCGCCAGCCACTTGCCGAAGCGGATCGTCCACCGCACCGTCGGGTGCAGACCGAGGGCCGTCCGCTGCATCGGCACGCTCTTCCCCGCCGCGGCCTGCGTCGCCAGGAACTCGCGCAGCCGCAGGCGCACGCGCCGAAGCTGCACTGACAGCGCCGGCCCGTGTGGCGCTAGCATCGGCCGCCCATCGCCGCACGCGGCCTCCTCCTGCCGCTCGTCATCCTCCGCCTCGAGGGCGTCCGCCAGCGCGCTGCGCTGCACACCCCGGCGCACAGGAGGCGGCGCCGGCCGCACCTCGGCCGCCTCGGCGTCGCCCGCGGCACGGGCGCCCCGCTCGCCGTCCGCGCGGTCCATCGCCGCATCCCCATCCCCGTCTGCGGCGGCGCCTCCTGCGCCCGTGCCGGCCTGCTCTGCGACGGCTCGCCACCGCTCGTCGTCCAGCATGTGCCACCACCGCCGATCCGGGTAGCCGTCGTACTCGACCTGGTGCGCGATCCGTCCGTCCCCGTCCTCCTCCCGCGCCATGACGGTCGCAGGGTACCACCGCTCACTGTCGCAGAAGATCTCGAGGCGCGATCCGGTGGACAGGACAGTGTGGCCGTCGAGCGCCGCCCTGGCATCCTCGCGCTGTCGCTTCCGCCGCTTCGCCTTCGTCTCCTTGCTGCGCAGCAGGGTGTAGTTCGGGCCCACCTCCGCCACGCTGTCCAGCAGCTGGGCGGCGCTCGCCATCTCGACCGCGTCGTCCTCCGGCGGAAGCTCCGCGTCGCCCGCGGCCGCTTCCCGAGCGCGCTCGTCGCGCATCCGCTCGTGGTGGGCCTGCCGACGCGCCACGCCGGCGCCCGTGTGCCTCGCCGCCGCGTCCGGTGACGGCATCGGTCGCTGCCACAGGTCGTCCCACAGGTCGTACCAACAGGTCGTCCCAAAGGGGACGCATCCAAACCGCCGCATTTCGCCCGCCGAAAAGGCTCCCACTCGCTCTGCCCCAATCTCGAACCAATCTCGAGTCGTCTCACTAGTTACATACATATTTTGCAGATGACCGATCAACACACAAAACAAAACCGTGTGGTCAAGTGTGGCACAAGCGAGATAGATGCGACTTTAGAGCCTGCTGGGTCCAACAGCAGGCGGCGCCGCGCCCGCGCGGAGGTGCCGAGAGAGGCACCCGCCGGACAAGCGCAGCGCGCAAAAGCGAGCCCTGGCACAGAGCATCTCACAGAGAGGGAGGGGAGGGGCGAGAGGGGCCAGGGGACAGCAGGAGAGGAGGGAGGAGGGACTGAGAGGAGGAAGAGCGAGATCGACGACAAACTGCCCCACCGTCTCGCCCCGAGGGGGCGGAGCAGGCACGATATTGGACGAGATCGGATTGGTCCCCAGAGCAAAAGGGCCGGCGCAATAAGTACGAGGCGACAGCTAGATGGTTGCTCCGAGCGGGGTGCCCTGACCGCTGCGGGAGGGGGAGAGACAGCGCCGTCAGTCGCAGTGCCGCCGCTGCAGGCTGCAGCACACACTCCCTGCGATGCGTCTGCTAGAGTCGCCGCACCCCCCCCACCCCCCCCTCCCACACATGCCCAGAGGGGAGGGGTAGGGGGTGGGTGGGGACAATCTGCTCTAGATTGTGTGGCCAAGGTGCTCGAGGGCGACGCCGTACTTCCACTTCCAAGAGAGCGAGCGGCGGAAGCCAGGCGGCTGGCCGATGCCTAGTGGCCATCAGAGAGGCGGTGTCAGCGACCGGCTAACCGCGAGTGAGCAGGAAGGCCGTCTTGACGTCGGCATCTGCGGTGAGCTCGCGTGATCTCGGCCGATCTCGGGATGGCTTGAGGCAACCTCGGCTCCTCTCGGGCTCAGCTCGGGCTCCTCTCGCCCTCGAGAGGACAATCTCGGGCAATCTCGGGAGATCTCACCCTCGAGGCCAAAGGACGGTTCTCTCCCGATCGCCAGCTCGCGCGTGGCCGACTGCTTGAGCGGCCAGAAGTTGGCGTCGTCGGGGACGAGGGCCATGAGGCACGGAATGGTGACCTGAGGAGCGAGGCTGAGGAGTGAGTGGGGCGTGAGTCCGTCAGAATGGGGCACGGGGCCCCGTGTGGCCCGAGGGCAGCTCGGCGTCGGGGGAGGAGCCCCACTGCAACCGTCGCAGTCCCGGGAGAGCGGGCAGGCCCCAGGGGAGGGGCGAGGAGGACGAGACCTGAGGGCCCCGCCTCGGCCACCTCTCGGCCCCCTCTCGGCTCACCTCTCGGCCATCTCTCGGCTATCTCTCGGCCACCTCTCGGCCACCTCTCGGCCATCTCTCGGCCCTCTCTCGGCCACCTCTCGGCTCACCTCTCGGCCATCTCTCGGCCATCTCTCGGCCATCTCTCGGCCATCTCTCGGCCATCTCTCGGCCATCTCTCGGCCATCTCTCGGCCATCTCTCGGCCATCTCTCGGCCACCTCTCGGCCACCTCTCGGCCACCTCTCGGCCACCTCTCGGCCACCTCTCGGCCCTCTCTCGGCCACCTCTCGGCCCTCTCTCGGCCCTCTCTCGGCCCTCTCTCGGCCCTCTCTCGGCCCTCTCTCGGCCCTCTCTCGGCCCTCTCTCGGCCATCTCTCGGCTCACCTCTCGGCCACCTCTCGGCTATCTCTCGGCCATCTCTCGGCCATCTCTCGGCCATCTCCCGGCCATCCCTCGGCCATCTCTCGGCCATCTCTCGTCCACCTCTCGGCCACCTCTCGGCCACCTCTCGGCCACCTCTCGGCCAGCTTTCGGCCATCTCTCGGCCATCTCTCGGCCACCTCTCGGCCACCTCCCGGGCTCCTCCCAAGCTCCTCCCGGCGGGGCTCTCGCCTTTGTCGTCACGAAGCAGTCGAGGAGGACGCCGACGCAGAGCATGAAGCCGATCTGGTTGAGCACAGGCGTCGTCGACGCGAGCAGCGCGCCGAACGCGAGGAACATGATGACGCCTATAGACACTTCCGAGACACTTCCGAGACACTTCCTTGTTCACAGCCGAACGCGAGGAACATGATGACGCCTATAGACACTTCCTAGACACTTCCGAGACACTTCCTTGTTCACAGCCGAACGCGAGGAACATGATGACGCCGGCGGCCGAGATGATGGTGCCCGCCTTGCAGGGGGGGGAGGGTGGCGAGATTGAGCCGAGGGAGGCCCAGACGGGCCGCGAGCAGATGGGCCGAGAGCCACCTCTCCCCACCTCTCCCCACCCCTCCCTTGTTTCGGCTCGCCTGGTCGAGGGAAGTGACCACCGCGGACTTGCCGTCCTTGCCGCTCTGCCAGTGCTCCATGACCGAGTCCATCAAGAAGATGTCGTAGTCGAGGCCGAGCCCGACCTGTACGGGACATGTCTCGGACGTGTCGCGGACGTGTCCCGGACATGTCGTAGTCGAGGCCGAGCCCGACCAGCACGGCGACGGCGACCGACGGCGAGATCCAGAAGAGCGCCTGCCCCGACGAGGGCGACAGGGCCTGGATGCCTACACGTGTCGCACACAAAGGGGGGGGGTGGGCGTTTGGTGTCTGCGCGTAGCCGGTAGGCGAGCGGGGACGGGGCGGGGACGCCGAGCCCCTCGAGGTAGCCGAGCTGGTACACCATCACCGACGCGCCAAAGGTGACGACGAGCATCCAGGCGATGCAAATCACGGCGCGGACGGGGATGAGCGCCGTGCCGAACGAGCCGCCTGGTGATGGCCATCTCCCACAGTCACCACGCGCCACTCTGGCGAGACGTCTCAGCTGCTCCTTGTCGGCGGGCCCAGAATGATGCAGACGATCGCGGCGATGGCGAGGCCGACGTACGGCATCCGGCGCAGCGTGTACTGCGCGCCGTCCATCTGCTCGAGCGGCATGCCTGGGTTCGGGTACTGTAGGGGTAGGGGAAGGGTTGCGGTACTGTGGGGGGTAGGGGACCCTCGCGCGGCACGCCGTAGAGGTGCAGCGCGCCGATCTCCACGTCGTCCCACCTGAATGAATGGATTCCTTTCGATTCACTCATTCACTTACCACAGCGCGCCGATCTCCACGTCGTCCCACCGGCCGTACGGCACGTAGTTTGCAGAGTCCGCGTCCTGGTGGCCGCCGAGCGGCTGCCGGATCACGTCTGGGCGCGGCAGCGACGCGCGGACGGCTCGCATCCACGCCTCGCCAACCTCGGAGAAGAGGTCGACCTGGCAGTGCACGTAGACCTGCGTCGCCGTCTGGTTGCGGTTCGAGAGCAGGTCGGCCACCATGTCGTACATCCCGTACATGTGCACCTGCGGGACATGTCTCGGACATGTCGTGGACGTGTCCCGGACATGTCGTACATCCCGTACATGTGCACCTGCGGGACATGTCTCGGACATGTCGTGGACGTGTCCCGGACATGTCGTACATCCCGTACATGTGCACCTGCGGGACATGTCTCGGACATGTCGTGGACGTGTCCTGGACATGTCGTGCATACCGTACATGTGCACCTGCGGGACATGTCTCGGACATGTCGCGGACGTGTCCTGGACATGTCGTACATCCCGTACATGTGCACCTGCGGGACATGTCTCGGACATGTCGCGGACGTGTCCTGGACATGTCGTGCATACCGTACATGTGCACCTGCGGGACATGTCTCGGACATGTCGTGGACGTGTCCTGGACATGTCGTACATCCCGTACATGTGCACCTGCGGGACATGTCTCGGACATGTCGCGGACGTGTCGCGGGCCCGCCGCACACGCGCTGCATGTGCATGTGCATGTGCATGTGCATGTGCATGTGCATGTGCATGTGCATGTGCATGTGCATGTGCGTGTGCGTGTGCGTGTGCATGTGCATGTGCATGTGCATGTGCATGTGGCACCGCGGGCATCACGTCGATCACGCCGAACTTGAGCCCGTCGGCGAGGCAGCCGCCGCGGAAGATCATCAGCCCGTTGAAGTCGGCCGTCGTCATGGTGTAGTCGTGCCCCTCCTACGCGAGGCGCCTCGGACGTGTCGCGGACGCGTCGCGGACAGGTCGCACATGGCGCAGCCGCCCCCCTCCTCGTGCATCCGGTCGGTCACCTTTGTGGCGAGGTCCTGCAGCATGTGGCAGGTCGCCAGCGACCACTCGCGGCTCGCCATCGCCTTTTGCGACGGCGCCATGATCAGCAGCTGCACCGGCGTGGTCAGGTCCTAGGGAAGGGAAGGGGAGAGACGTCAGACGTCTCCACACGCACGAGGTACTTCCGGTCCGACGGGGTGGTCAGCTCCTGCCCGTAGATGTTGGAGATGGAGATGAAGGCCTTGGTCGCCGGGTGGGTCGTCTGCATGAGCGGCGTCAGGTCCTCGACGTACGAGAAGCGCGTGAGCGCCATCGCGAACGGAACCATCACCAGCGCGAGGAAGAGGAACATCACCGGCGCGCCGCGCTGCGAGCAGCGGCCGAGGTGCGCCCAGATCGACTCCTTCTTGGGCTGCGGGTTCTCGATGATGGTCGGGCGGTCGATCGTCGCGCCGAACTGCGCCACCGTGCCGCTCGACGCACGGCGGTACGTGCCGAAGGGTGTGCCTGAGGTGTGGAGCCGGAGGTGTCCCGGAAGTGTCGCGGAGGTGTCCCGGTACGTGCCGAGGGGCGCGCCGTCGAGGGTGAGGCCGAGCATGCGGTCGGCGGTGAAGAAGCGGGGCATGGTGAGCAGCAGCGCGGGCGTGAGCGAGAGCGAGACGAGCACAGACTGCAGCACCGCCGTCGCGGCGCCGGCCGCCATGGAAGTGATTGTGGAGGTTGGCAGCACGAGCATGGAGGTGAAGCAGAGGGCGAGGGTGGCGCCTGCTCGAGTCGCACGACGGAATCGCAGTGGCGAAGGGGGGGGGGGGGGGGGCACCAGAGACGACGATGGTGTGGCCCTGAGTGGCGAGGGCGATCTCGAGCGACTGCGTGATCGAGCGGCCGTCGAGGCGCTCCTAACGGGGAAGGCTCCGAGACGGTGCCGAGAAGGTTCCGGGCGAGAGGAGAGAGCGGCCGCCGTCGCTCCTCGTTGAAGCGCGTGAGGAGGAAGAGGGAATAGTCGATGGACATGGCGAGGGCCACCTAGCACCCTCACGGCTTCCGTCAACTCGTTGAGCAGTGGGGACGATGAGTCGACGGACATGGCGACGGCCACCGCCACGAGCATCGCGGGCGCGCACACGTTCACGTCCATCACGTAGTACGAGACGGGGTACATGATGAGGAGGGTGGTGCCTGAGGTGTGTGATGCAAGGAAGGGTCTACGACGTGTCCACGGTCCGCCCCGGTGCGCATGATGCCGACGGCTGTGCCGATCCCGGTCAGAATGTTGCAGGCGACGAGGCCGAGCTGCCTACGGGGCGGACATGTCCAGGACACGTCCCGAGCTGTCTACGAGGACATGTCCAGGACCAGGCCGAGCTGCCTACGGGGAGGACATGTCCAGGACACGTCCCGAGCTGTCTACGAGGACATGTCCAGGACCAGGCCGAGCTGCCTACGGGGCGGACATGTCGCAGACATGTCCGCGGCGTGGCCGTGGGGTGGCAGCGACCAGGCGGCCGGGCGGCCGGATGTTGCGCAGCATGATTGCGAGCACGATGAAGGCGAGGATGGTCGCGACCGTCGAGAGGGCCATCCCCCACTCGATCCCCATGATGATGTCTTCGTAGACAACCGGGTACGAGACAAACGTCAAGTCGACCTACAACGGCGCGCCGCCGCCCTCCTCACGGCCGGCTGCTGCCTCCACGGGCGAGGCGCGAAGGGCGCGGCGCGACCGGCGACTCTGGGAACTCCTCCATCCTCCACTCGCGGTAGCCCGCCCAAGACTCGAGCAGCTCGGCGACCTGTACGGGACGTGTCTCGGACGTGTCGTGGACGTGTCGCGGGCATGTCGCCGTCGAGGAGCTCGGCGACCTGTACGGGACATGTCTCGGACGTGTCGTGGACGTGTCGCGGGCATGTCGCCGTCGAGGAGCTCGGCGACCTGTACGGGACGTGTCTCGGACGTGTCGTGGACGTGTCGCGGGCATGTCGCCGGCCAGGAGCTCGGCGGCCGGCTCGCAGAACCACTCGTGCTTGTAGACGCACTCCTTGTAGATAGCGTGGCCTACCCTCGTGCCGGACGCGCGCGCGGCTCAAGACGGAGTAGGGAGGGGCGGACGCACGCGTCGCAGCGTGGCGTGTGGCCGTAGCAGCGTGGCGTGTGTGGCCGTAGCAGCTGACGAGGCGCACGGCGATCATGCCCTCCCTCGGCTGTATCTCGGCTGTATCTCGGCTAGATCTCGCCGTAGCAGCTGACGAGGTGCACGGCGATCATGCCCTCCTGCCCGCCAAAGTTGCTCGGAAAGAGAAACGAGTGCGCCACCATCTGGACCTGCGGGTGTAGGGAGGGAGACAAGGCCGGTGCGGTGGTGGCCCGGGCAAGAGAGGCGACGGCGCCGCTCCCTGCACGCCTCGAATGGCCTGCCGAGGGAGGAGCCATCCCTCCCCATCTCTCCCCATCTCACCCCATCTCTCCCCACCTCTCCCCATCTCTCCCCACCTCTCCCCATCCCTCCCCATCTCTCCCCATCTCTCCCCATCTCTCCCCATCTCTCCCCATCTCTCCCCACCTCTCCCCATCTCACCCCATCTCTCCCCATCTCCCCCCCTCTCTCCCCATCTCTCCCCATCTCTCCCCCCCCCTCTCCCTCTCCTCCCCCCCTCTCCCTCTCCTCCCCCCCTCTCCCCCTCCCCCCCCCCTCTCTCTGCACGCCTCGAACGGCATGTCGAAGAAGGAGTAAAAGTTGAACTCGCACTTCGGCTTGAGCTGCGCTGGGGATGGCGGCGGCGCGGGCACGCCCGAGGCTCGAACCGACGTCGAGCCGCGTTCTGCGCTGGCCTCCCCCGCCTGCTGCCCGCTCGCCACATCTGCCGGCCACTCGACTAGCTCGAGGTAGGGCTGGACGCGCTTCTTGAGGTCGAGGGAGATGGACTCGGTCTCCGCGGTGAGGTCTCCCTCCGGGTTGTACGAGAAGAAGGGCGGCAGCAGCTCGAGCTGCATCTCCGCGTCGGCGTTGATTAGCGTCTGGTTGGGCGCGTTGCGCTGGTTGGTCGACAGCAGCGCCACCAGCGTCACCGGCTCGGGAGGAAAGTTCTCCGCGTACGTGATCTTCGCCGCCTATGAGCGGGGCGGTGCGGGAGCGCAGTCAGCCGGGCGGTGCTGCGGTGCGAGCGAGCGACTGAGAGAGAGAAAGAGAGAGAAGCCGGGCGGAGCTGCGGTGAGAGAGAGTGCGGCAGTTCAGAGTCTTGCCTCGGCGGCGCCTCGCCTCGCTCTCTGAGCAGTACGGAGGCTGAGCTCGGCTCCATCTCGGCTATCTCTCGGCGGCGTCTCGCCTCGCTCTCTGAGCCGTACGGAGGCTCCACCGAGATCTTGAGGATCCGCGTGAGGGGAAAGTAGATCGACGCGCCGGAGAGGGTGAGCGAGAGCCAGAGGAGGAGGAAGAACCAGCGGAGAGGGCGGCCACGCAGCAGCCGCACGTACGTCACCACCCACTCGGGGGGCGCGTGGTGCTCGAGGCTCGCGTCGCGCGCCACCGGCTGCGCGCCGCCGAGCAGGCCGCGCGGCGTCGCCGGAGAGGCTGGGCCCCACCCGCTACCAAAGGGCTTGGAGCCGCTGCGATTGATCTCCGGCAGATCGGAAATCTCCTCCATGGCCTCCTCCTCCTCGTTGTACTCGAGCGTGCCCCGCTTTCCCGCCATCGCCTCCTCGTCGTTGCCGTCGCCGCGCAGCCGACCCTTGGATCCCTTGATGAAGAGACCGCGCAGCTTTTGCATGCCCGTCTTGCACGCGCGCGCGGTCGGGCTGTCGGACCCCTCCCCCACTCTGCTCTCCGCGGTCTGCATCGCGCCGCTGAGCCAATCCTTCTCCGACAGCAAGGTACGAACGCAGCAGCGGATCACCTTATTGCGACAATGCCGGCCAAGTTTCTTTTTTTCGCTAAGTTTCTTTTTTCGCTGACCTGTGTAGACAAAGCGGCGATTTTTTTAATATTTTTGGCCGGCGAGATTGCTAGAGGCGGAGCGGTCTGCTCTAGTCTCACTCACATGTCACTTCCTGCCGTCTGTCTGTTGTGTGTGTGTTGTGCCCTTGTTGAGAGAGAGAGAGAGAGATTTTTAGCAATACCAAACAACTCTAACACTCACACGTCATGTTTGTGCCCTTGTTTGTTCTCTTGGCACCTTGGAGTCTGGCATGTCTGGGGGCGACAAGGGAGGATGTGGCCCTGAGTTATGTGTACGCCTACTCAGGGTGTGTGGCAGCCCGCTGGCTGTGTGTCTTGTGAGCCTGTTTGTGTCTGTGTGTCGCTCGTGCGTGTCGTCATCATCTGTCTAGCGTCCACCCATACCGCGTTGATGTCCAGTCCGAGCCTGGCTGTTCTTCACCGGTGAGCCGGTGTGTGTGCCAGTCCGCGCCAGTCCGCGCCCTTGTCGTGCCAGTGTGCTGTGAGAGAGGCTTGTATTTTCTATCTACCTACTTGGAGTGCTGGGGGGGGGCGACAGGGAGGATGTGGCCTTGAGTTATGTGTACGCCAACTCAGGGTGTGTGGCAGCCAGCTGGCTGTTGTGTCTTGTGAGCCTGTTTGTGTCTGTGTGTCGCTCGTGCGTGTCGTCATCATCTGTCTAGCGTCCACCCATACCGCGTTGGTGTCCAGTCCGAGCCTGGCTGTTCTTCACCTTTCTACCTACCTACCTACCTATGGCATATCGCTCTCGGGCCTACAGACATCCCGCACACCCGCCGCCCCCCGCGCGCGCCCCACCCCGGCCGGGAGAAAGGGGAGTGACAGCTTGGGACGGCAACTCGTGTGTCTGCACTCCATGTGAAAGAACGCAGGGTAAATGTAAGCCGGATGGCTCACAGGCCACCTCTTGCGCCCCGACTGACCGATCTACCGCACTGGCCACTTCCGCCCCCTCGCTCCCAAACAAAGCGGCGGCGGCTTCTCGCCCACCGCCGTTCTCAAGCTGCGCCGCCTCTCGCGCGCAAAGTCGGAGCAGGCGCACATCGCTTCCAGGGAGGCGGACATGGTTCTCGAGGTTCTCGTGGTGGATATCCTTTGGCCGCGTTGGGTAGCGAGGATTGGTGTAACCCGAGCCACGCAGGCGTGTTTTCTGACGGCCGACCGTCAGTGCACGGAGTTGCCCCTTCTCCGACTGCCCCGGCTAGTTCCCGAGGTCGTCGGGAGGGAGTGACCCCTGCGTCCCCCGAGACCTAGCGCGGGTGGGTTGGAGGGGGGGTCGCTGCAGGGAAGGGCTGTGTAAGAAGCCGATCCCCGTAGTTCGCCCCGCTCCTCCCCATCGGGCCGCGTGAGCGGCCACGCCTCGCAGATTCGTTTTCGCGCCTGGGTCAGGCGCGCGGGGCATCCCCCGGGTCGCTCGACCAGCGATCCGAAGAGTGGCCGCTATGCGAAGGAAAGAGCGGGGCCCTCGACGCAGTCCGGCCCTCCGAGGGGGGAAGGGAATTGCGGGGTCCCCACGGGCGCCTCAGTTCGGCCCTCCCGAGGGGGGAGGGGGAGCAAGGGGGTGGGGGGATCGGGGCGGGGGGAGGGGTCTCGGGTTTCGTGTGGCTAATACTTGCCCTTTCGGGGAGGGGCCTCGGTGCAGGCGAGTCCAGCTCAACCCGACGTCTTCCCCTCCTCCCTCGAGGCAGCGAGTAGGCAGCGAGTAGTGAAGGTGGAGGGGCCTCCGTTGGAAGGCGCGCAAGCACGCCCTACGTCTTCCCCTCCACCCTCGAGAGTACCTATACGCTAGATGAGCGAAGGGCGGTGGCCAGTGCGCGGGCGAGGGGAGGGGGCGGGGGAGGAGAAGATTCGGCTGGCGAATGCGGGTGGACCGCCAACTGGCCCTGCCCCGACCAGCCTCTTGCGGGGCCGGAGAGCGTCGCTGTGCCAGGACAAGGCGGTCGGACTGTGTGCATTACGCATTCGTGTTCGGCTACAAGCGTCTCCGGATCGACGTCCCGGCGCAGAAACACGCGACGAACGACGGCTCCGCTCAATTTGCCGCTTGCTGCCTCACGCCACCCTCGCCACCAGCTCCGCCGCCACCTCCACCTGCATCAGAGGAGGTCAATTAGGCGGCTCCCGTGGTGTATTAGTGCCAGTGTGCGCGCCAGTCCCGTGACTAGTGGAGAGAGAGAGTTTTGTGCAAATTATTTTTCTTTTTCACTCCGAGTATAGCTTCACATGCGCTATTGGAAGGCGGGCATCGTGCGAGAGAGAGATTACTTCTCCTCGTTCGTGGTTGGATGCCTGCTCAAGGTGGTCGCGATGGCGAGCGATGACGAGGGATTCACGCTCAGCGTGACGAGCAAGCTCAGGGAGTTTACGGCACTCGGATACCCTTCGCACGTGCTTAATGGGGCGATCGGGCGCACGTTTGCTCGGCCATGGAGATTTGTTTTCTCGGTTGGCATAGACAGCGTCTCATAGACAAGGAGCAAAGAATGGCTGTGGCTCTGCCGTTGTGCAGCGACCAGGCGTGGAACGTGTCGGACGTGCTCGACGCAATGGCGCCGACGCTCTCCACCTCCGAGCACTCGCGCCGCGCGGCGTCCGCCGCGTACGCCGCGGCGGCGCCATTCCCGCACGCGGCGGCGGACGGCGTGTTCCCTGCGTGCTTGCTGCGCGCGGTGGCGCAGGAACTGCCGCAGAGCATCGACAAGCACGGCTGCGCGAGAGGTGCGTCCCGCTGCTTCAACGGTGGCGCACGCGAGTTGCACAAGAGCCAGATCACGAGCGAGCGCGCGATGGGTGGCGCGACGCGGCTGCTCTTCGCCACGCTGCGCGCTCCGCCCTTCGTCCGCTGGCTCGAGCAGCTGACGGGCATCGCGAAGCTGCGCCCCGACCCTGGCTATAGTGGGAGCGGCGTGCACATCACAGCAACTGGCGGGCGGCTCGGCGTGCATGCCGACTTCAACCACCTGCCGCGCAAGCCGTCGTGGCACCGCCGCGTGAACACGTTCGTCTACCTGAACGACGAGTGGCCGGAGGCGTACGGAGGGCATCTCGAGCTGTGGGACCGCAACCTCACCGCCTGCGCCACGCGCGTGCTGCCAACCATGGGCCGCTTCGTCGCCTTCTCCACCACCGACTTTTCGTACCACGGCCATCCCGTGCCGCTCGCCGCGCCGCTCGGCCGCGCACGCCGCTCCGTAGCGCTCTACTACTATACCGTGGGAGTTCGCCCGCCTGCCGAATGTTTGGAGGGCCGCTGCTCCTCGATGCACACCACCATCTTCAAGAGCACGCCGCTGTGCTCGCCCACAGCCAACGCTGCTCCGTCCCTGCCCAGTGGGAACGAGGCTCCGTCCCTGCCCAGTGTGCCGCCGAGGCGCAGCCCGCTCCCCGAGGGCTCGGCTCTCGCTGCGCTGGCGAGCAAGGTCGAGAAGCTTGAGGCCAAGAAGCAAGATCACCGCCCTCGAGGCTCAGGTCGCACGCGGCTGAAGCGCGGCAAAGGTTGAAGGGTTCTGTGCGTTCTCATGTCGGTTCGTGGGACATGTTACCGCATGGGCCATGTGCTCCTTTTCTCGCCCTCTTTTGAAACCCGACCCACAGCCCTTTGGCACATGGCTCCGCTCCTTCCACCACCTCTCACGCCCGAGCTGCTCGTCCGATACCTGGTGGCGGCGGCGCCGCCGCCGCTGACGACGGTACTGCGACCGGCGGTAACAGCGGCGCTGCCAGCGTCGTCAACGGCGTCGGCGCAGCCGGCCGGCAGCGACTGCCGACGGACGAGCAGTCGGTCCAGCACGCTTACGCTTCACTGCATGAAGCCAACACTGTCGCTCTCGACGCAGAGCATCTCGGTGGTGGTGTCGATGCGGTGGTGGAGGTGGTGGAGGAGGCGGAGGGCGCCGCGGCGGCGCTCCGTGAGGACGCGCAGCGGGCTCTCGCCAGTGCCGCAGACGCAGCGGCTTCAGGTGGCGGCTGCTACGGCAAAAGCCATGCTGAGGCTTGGGCGGAGAGTGCGGCGCTGGAGCAGTGGGCAGACGAGCTCGAAGAGCTCGCCGAGCTCGCGGCAGCGGCGGAAGACGCGGATGGATCAGATCAAGACGAACCGAAGAGCGCCAGGACATCGACAGCGAGCTGTGAGCTACCACTTTCTTCCCGCTACGCTCGTGTTATTGGAGATGTTCAAGATGCAGTTTATCGGGCCGACGATCGGCAGCGAGGAGATATTCCTCGCCTCGCTGCTCATCGTGGGCATTCGTTCAAGATGCTGAGCGACCGCGCGACGGCGACGGCGGCTGCTGCTGCTGCTGCCGCTGCTTCTGCCGCTGCTGCTGCCTCTGTTGCGGTTGCTGCCATAGCTGCTGCGGCCGCACCACCCGGCGAGGCCATCCTCGCGCGCACGGACGCTACAGGCGCGGGCGCGGGGGTGGAGGGTGCGTATGAGGCGGAGATGATGGAGGCGCTCGCCGCGTGCGGCAATTGAGCGCCTCCCTCTCTCTCCGGCTGCGCGCCTGACCGGTGCGGCCTCCGAGTCGGCGTCTAGCGCGCGCGATAAGGTTTTTGCTCGCCTTCCCTGGGACCCCGTGTTGCGTGACTCTGTGCAATTTCGGGCCCGGGGTTGTGCGTTTACGTGAACAGCGGATTTTGAATCAGCGTTCTCCTCGAACGATATCGGTGTCGAAACAAGAGCAAACACCGGCCCTGACACTGAGACGCTCGGCTCTCTTGGCCTCGAGGCACTCGCGGCCTCGCGCCGAGCGCATCGCGCGCGGAGCGGCGTTATCAGATGGGCATTGCGGAGTGTATTCTGCATACGGGGGGTGCATCGACAACCGCTGCCCATGCGGACGCCGGGCGTGCCAAGGTCGGTAGCACCGCGTTTGCCATAGCTGCTCTGCGTGCTGTAGAGTCGCGGCGCCTGCACCCACTGTTCAAGTGCACTGCGTCAGAGAGTCTCTTCTCGTTGCATGTGGGCGCGCCTTGGGCGACGAAGATGCTCGTGCTCCTGTTTCCTTTGCGGCGGCAGCTAGCCTGTCTGATGCCCGCCACGATTGCCGCCGACATGGTGGCGCTCCGCACGTGGCATCTCGATCGAGAAATCGCAGCGGCACTGGAGCGTTCTGCTGGCTTGCCGCCTCAGCTCGTGATCGTCGGCGCGGGGCTCGACTTCCGCTGCGTGCGGCTTGCTGGCAGCCTGGGCGGCGGGAAGGTGTTTGAGCTCGACTTCCAGGGGATGCTCGATGAGAAGTGGGCGCTACTCGGGGCCGCTGGGGTGCCACCCCCACCTCACCTCGTGAGCGTGGGCTGTGACTTGAGTCTCGGTCCTGCCGGCTGGGTCGATGAGCTGCGGCGGCGAGGCTTCGATGATCGCCGCCCGTCCGTGTGGCTACTCGAGGGCCTCGTGCCGTACCTGAAGCCACCCGAGCTGGAGGCGCTGCTCCGCGCCATCTCTGAGCTCTCGGCGCCGCAGAGCTCACTCCTCGCCACCTTCATCTCCCCGACGCGCCCCGCCGGTTCCGTCGGCGCTAGCGTCTCAGTGTCGATGAACAAGTACACCACCGAGTCGCCTGCGGACACGTTGTCCACTTTCGGCCCCGCCGCCGTCGTCACCATTGGCGAGCTCATCACGCGGTGCGGCGCGCGTGGCGAGACCATGGGCATCCAGCCGTCGGACGCTTCGTACACGTTTGCCACAGCGTGCCGGGAGTGACACGGCCGGGAGAGTGCCCGTCGCCGGGCTGCATCTACCTTATCCCACGGCTAACTTAGTACGAATACTAGCCTGCGAGCTAGGGCTCCTGGCTCCTGTCTTGTAGTAGAGACTCTGGGGTTAATGTAACTCTCACATCACTCTCTCAGTACAGCTGCCCCTCTAACAGTACAGTAAAGAGAGTTACGCGCCGACACGATTCCGCGTGCGTGGGTGCGCGCAAGCCGCAAGCGCAACCCTAGCTCAAACAAGAACTGAAACAAACAAAGGGTCGCTTGACGGACGAGCCAAGATTCCAAAAGGGTACACCGAGGAGCGGCACTGGGACATCTCAAAGCAAGTCTCCCCGGGGGAAACAGAGAGAGGAATGCCAGTCCCAGAGGAATTATAGTATTCGTGACATGCCATCATTGCGCGTTTGTATTGTTCTAGACCTTTTCTTATATTTGGAGCGGGCCGGCGCCGGCGGGGCGACTCAGATTTTTAGATTTGTTTTCGAAAAGAAGAAACCGCGCGGCCGCCGGACCGAAGGCGTGTCACCTTTCGGAGAGCGATTGCGTTTCGAGAGCACGCCCGGTCGCCCCGGCCGGCTTCTTCTCCAAGTACGCCGCCTGCCACACTCACCACTGCGTGTTGTCCTCTCCTCTCCGCGCCTCGCCCACCGCGATCTCCACCGCGCGCTCCACCACCGCGCGCCAGCCTTGCAGCGCCACCAGAGCCACCAGCGCCAGACGCCAGCGCATCGAGACGCGCGGCTGCTCTCACCGCCTCCGCTCAGAACACGTCACTGCTTGCCATGCCCTCGCCCAATGCCGCACCGCCTGTCACCCGCACTGGGCCTGGCCGCCGCACGTCAATCGGCCCTGTTGCCGCGGGATCGCGTAAGGGTAGCGGGACGCTCAGCCGCATTGCACGCGTTGCCGAACATGTGGGCGTACAATGCAAACTCTATACCGTCAAGGGCAAGATTCTCGACCAAGAGAAAGATGCGATCAACCACTCCGCAACCGTCGACAAAACGCGATTCATCTGTGGCACAGCGAGGATTCTGCAAAAAAGACGGCTACGTCCTTGGGTTGGCCTTTCATTCAGTTTGGAGTGTACTCACACGACCAAAACGAGCGGATCGTGAACCAGGTTCTCAAACTGCCCCCGAACGTCATGACGCAGATCAAGCGGATTGTCGTCTCAGTTGGTAGCGGAGTCACGCTCGTTGGCATTGTGCACGGACTCAAGGAATACTACAAGCTCTACCCGCACAACCCCAAGATAAAGGTCGTGGGCGTGCGTGCCGCGCGTGACGCTCGCGACCCCACCGAATTCCTCAACAGCACATCCCCAACTGGAACACGGATGACGGGCTGAAAATCGAACTGAAAATCGCGCCGGGATCCTACAAAACCGAGGCCGTGCAAAAATACCGAAAATGGCGCGGCATCGATCTCGATCCGTACTACGAGGCAAAAGTTGTCAAGTTCTTGGAGCCGAACGATTTGTTCTGGATTGTCGGCAACAACAGCGTGCCGAACGAGACAGCGTGCCGAACGTTGTTGGCGGCCGACAACATCGACTAGCAAGCGCTGAAGGCTCGGTCCTCGGACCGCGGTACTTTATGTGCGTAATGTGGGTGGAAAGGAGTAGGAGGATCTCTCGTAAGGAGGCCGGGGCAAAAAAGGGAAAAGACACGTTGGCCTAAGCACTCTAAAAGACTAAGAGGGCGGCGCACGGAGACGCTGGAGATACATCGATACGCTCGCCGAGTTCGGCGATTGAGCGCCTCCCTCTCTCTCCGGCTGCGCGCATCACCGGTGCGGCCTCCGAGTCGGCGTCTAGCGCGCGCGATAAGGTTTTTGCTTGCCTTCCCTGGGACCCCGTGTTGCATGTCTGGCTGTCACTGTGCGATTTCGGGGCCGGGGTTGTGCGTTTATGTGAACGGCTTGCACGATCGTGAACGGCTTGGCCGGCGCTCTCGGCGGGCGAGTTTGCGGCGCACGCGCTGCGCGTAGGCGGCGCGTGGGCGGGCGGCCCGCCCGGCCGTCGGTGAGCACCGGACGCGAGGACTAGCTAGAGCTCACACTAGAGGCCGTCATCGCATTCCTGGGACCCAGCGCTGACTTCTGACTGTCGTTGCTGTCTCTCTCTCTCTTCTCGACTGTCTGTGCTTGCTTGTGCGTCTTGGGTCCGGGTTGTGTTTTTGTCGTGGGGGCCCCGCGGCGACAGCCGGGCAGGCCTCTCGCGACGGCCGATGGAGACTGGCCAGCGCTGTCGGCGGGCGAGTTTGCGGCGCACGCGCTGCGCGTAGGCGGCGCGCGGGCGGGCGGCCCGCCCGGCCGTCGGTGAGCACCGGACGCGAGGGTCGGTCGGCTCCTAACTAGCTGTATGTATATAGTCGCGATCTGCCGGCGTGCGTATGAGCTCACTAGGCTATGATGTAACTTATTCCGGGGCCGGTGTGCGGGGAGCGAACCTTAACGACCGCCCAGAAGCTTTCTGAGCGAACTAATCGGGCCAGGATCATCAGCATATGTCCCCTCCACAACATCGTGGGCGTTTGAGCGGTATTTGAGGAGCACCGCGACTCTGAAGTTCGGCCGGGTGGTCTGCAGGACCCCCCCCCGGAGCAGCAGAGGCTCCGTGGGGTCGCAGAGTCGACGCTGGGAGTCGCACTCGTCAAGCCATCGCAGCACCACGCGGTCCGCACGTACCGCCCACATCCCCTCCACCGCTGAGAAGGCGCAGATCGACCGCCGGGCCGCGTAGTCGTCGTTAAGGAGCGGTTTTTGGAGCCGTACGAAGAGGTCCCAGACGGGCGAAGATGCGGTAATTCGACGACCACACGCGATGTGGTATCTGGTTTTTGCTAAAAACGGGCCGCCTAGTGCAGCATCACTAGTAAAACACGCAACCACACTGAGAGCTCCACACTAGCCGGTATAGGCGAGCCCCGGCGGCCTCACCGTCGCCGCTCGCGGCGGAGCCGACGGCGGAGCCACGGGCGGGTGCGACCTTTTGGGGGGACATGAGCTCGCCAGGACGTCACCGATGGCTCGGCGCGCCTCTTCCCGCCAGCGCGGGGCGGCCTACCTACAAGGGCGAGGGGGGGGAAGACGGAACTGAGCCCTAGGTTCGTGCAAAAGCGCCGGCAAGGGCTGGGAGAGGGGCAGCAAGCGACGGGCGGGTCCGCGACCTTTTGAGCGGCCGTGAGCCGGCAGGGAGGCCGGCGATGGCTCGGCCAGCTCCTTCCCGGCGGGTTCTCGTCGGGCCGTGCCTGGTCGGCCGGGCTCGGGTGAGGTGTTCGGGCCCGGGAGTCGCATCTGCGCGTCCCCGGCAGTGGCAGCGTGGGGGTAGATGGGAAGTGCGGAGATGGGAGGCAACGCGCCTGTTTGATGGCCGCACGAGGCAAAGTTGGGCGCTCCGAGCGTCTTTCCGGCGAGAACGAGCGGGCTGTGTATCGTCGGGGGGGTGACTGAGAGGGAGGTGGTCGTGCGCTCACTCTGTCGGCCGCGCGCGAGGTGAATACTGGGTGTGAGGCGCGCAGGAGGCGAGGGTGGGCGCGCCGGCGGTCGAGCCACCGAAGAATTCGACGTGGCGCAGCTCCGCGCCGGCGGGGACGACCGAGTACATGATGTCGGCGGCGGTCACGCGACGAGGGAGAGCCGCAGGAGCCCTCTGTGGAGCAGGCGCGCGAAAGCAGCGATGAGTGGAGCCGCGATCAGCCACCTGTGGGCGGTCACCGGGGTCGCGGTCAAGCTCGCGACGGGGTGAATCTGGTGCGTCTCGTATCACTGGTGGGCTGGGTGTGCAGCAGCCGCGCTCAAAAAGAGGGAAAAAACTCGACAACTGTTTGGAGTGTCTACATTCTCGAGGCACCGTTCTCGGCCCGGCCGGAAAGCTGGCTGGTGGTCGCGCGCGGCGCGTCAGCGCCACTCCGACTGGTCGGGCACCTCGGCTGGGTCCATCGGCAAGAGGCCAGCGCCGTCGGCCAGCCCCGCGAGCGCATGGGCGGCCGGCGCGAGCGGAGATCGGCGGGCTGAGATCGGCTCGTTTGCCACGAAAAGACGATGCGCCAGGGGGGGGGGTCCGAATAAGTTACATCATATAAGCTAGAGCTCACACTAGAGGCCGTCATCGCATTCCTGGGACCCAGCGCTGACTTATGACTGTCGTTGCTGTCTCTCTCCCTTCTCGACTGTCTGTGCTTGTGCGTCGTTGGTCCGGGATTGTTTTTCTGTGAACGGCTTGTGTGAACGGCTTGCACGCAGGGCGTTCTCAGATCCCCGACCGGTGCCAAGCTCCATGCAGACGCCTCTCCTCTGTGGCTCCGCCGCCTGCGACGCCGTCAGGGATACTCACTTGATATACAAGCCCCTGCACCTTGACATCGGCACCTGCGGAACGCACATCGCCTTTATTCAGTCTCGCCTCGGCAGCAGCGGGCGCATCGAGCGTCGGGCGGCGTGCGACAAAGTGGCGTTGAACTTCCCAGGCGAGTGTGGCAAATGCGGGCCGCAGCCCCCGCCGTCGCCGCCGCCTCCGCTGCCTCCGCCGCCTCCGCCGCCTCCGCCGCCGCCATCGCTCCCGCCGCCGCCGTCGCCTCCGCCGCCTCCGCCGCCTCCGCCGCCTCCGCCGCCGCCATCGCTCCCGCCGCCGCCGTCGCCTCCGCCGTTCCTCTGCGGCTCCGCCGCCTGCGACGCCGTCAGGGACACTCGCTTGGTGGACAAGGCCCTTTACCTTGACATCGGCACGTGCGGAGAGCACATCATCTTTCTCCAGTCTCGACTTGGCAGCGGGCGCTTCGAGCGTCGGGCGGCGTGCGACAAAGTGGCGTTGGACTTCCCAGGCGAGTGTAGCCAATGCGGGCCGGAGCCGCCATCGTCGCCGCCATCGCCGCCTCCATCGCCGCCATCGCTGCCTCTGCCGCCCTCACTGCCGCCTCCGCCGCCGCCATCGCTCCCGCCGCCGCCTCCGCCTCCGCCGCCACTCCCGCCGCCGCCGTCGCCCTCACTGCCGCCTCCGCCGCCGCCATCGCTCCCGCCGCCGCCGTCGCCTCCGCCGCCACTCCCGCCGCCGCCGTCGCCTCCGCCTCTCCTCTGCGGCTCCGCCGCCTGCGACGCCGTCAGGGACACTCGCTTGGTGGACAAGGCC